GGAAGCATTTAAGAACTAGAGGAAAGTTGTATGTTTCATTGTTGCTACCCTGCAGCCTGACTGGCTCATCTCCTCCCCGCAACCCTTCAGTAAGGTGGGCTTTGGTTCTCCACCCTGCACTCACCCTCATTTACAATGATATGATTTTTTGTTCTTTGATGCCTGATACCCGATCCCTTTGGTGAAGAAAGCCGATGGTGCCCGGCTATCAAAAGATAGAACATTTGGGGTCTTAAAGGCTTGAAGATAAATACGCAGTCATCTAGCTCAGAAGCAACAAAGCCCACATGGAAGAAGCACACCAGCCTGTGTGAACTTTCCACACACAAAAAATCATTTCTTTGGGGGCTCATACAACTCTTATCACAATCCATACATCCATCCATTGTGTCAAGCACATTTGTACATTTGTTGCCATCATCATTTTCAAAACATTTTTTTTGGCTTGAGCCCTTGGTATCAGTTCTCATTTTTACCCCCTCCTTTCTCCACCCTCCCTCCCTCTTGAACCCTTGATAATAATTATTTTTTCATGTCTTACACTGACGAATGTCTCCCTTCAACCCTGGGACAGGGTTACATGTATAACATTGTGATCTATTTCCCCTTTCTTGCCCACCTTCCCCTTAGCCTACTGGTATTGCTACACTCATTATTGGTCCTCAAGGTTTTATCTGTACTAAATTCCATGTGCTTCCAGCTCTTATCTGTACCTGTGTACATGCCTGTGGTCTAGCCGGATTTGTAAAGTAGAATTGGGGTCATGATAGTGGGTGGGAAGAAGCATTAAAGAACTAGAGGAAAGTTGTATGTTTCATTGGTGCTACACTGCACACTGACTGGCTTGTCTCTTCTTTGTGACCCTTCTGTCAGGGGATGTCCGATTGTCTGCAGATGGGCTTTTGGTCTCCACTCTGTACTGCCCCTCATTCACATTGATAGGATACTTTGTTCTGGGTCTTTGATGCCTGAAAACTGATCCCACTGACAACTCATGATCACACAGGCTGGTGTGCTTCTTCCATGTAGACTTTGTTACTTTTCAGCTAGATGGTCCTTTGTTTTTCTTCAAACCTTTAAGACTCCAGGTGCTATATCTTTTGATAACCGGGCACTATCGGCTTTCTTCACCACACTTGCTCATGCACCCATTTTGTCTTCAGCAATCATGTCAGGAAGCTAACCAAGCTAAACATCACGAATGTCAAGTTACTAGAACAAAGTGTTCTTGCGTTGAGGGAGTACTAGAGTAGAGACCCAATGTCCATCTGCTACCTTAATACTTAACATATAAATATATGTACATAGATCTATTTCTTTATCGTTATATATAAATATATTTACATATGTACATGCCTGTATTTAGACCTCTATAAGTGCCCTTTGCCTCCTAGTTCTCTATTTCCTTTTACTTTCTTCTTGTCCTTCTATCATGTTTGGCCTTCATTTGGGTTTCAGTAATTCCTCACGGTTACACTGCCTTTGATCAAGCCCCACCAGGCATCCTCCAACCTCCTCTCCATCAATTTTCTTGCCCCTGGGTTTGTTAACACCCACTTCCTTCCACCCACCCCCTGCCTCCTCCCCTTCCGTGTCCCCGGAACCATCAGTCCCATTGGTTTTTCTCCCCTGGATTGTTTATCCTGTCTATCTTATCTAGATAGACATGCAGAGACTATAATAAGCACAACAACGAGACAGAGCAAACTAAAACAACAAAATAAAATGAAACACAAAACAAGAAAACCAACGACAAAAAAAGAAAAGCCTATAAATAGTTCCAGGCCAGTTTGTTGACCTTCAGGTGTGTTTTCTAGTCCAATCTGATGGGGTATCACACCCTGGCCCCAAAATTTATTTTTGGTATTCCCTAGGGACTTCATTGCTTTGCTCTCCTTGCTGCTCTGTTGCACACCTTTATCATTTCGCCCCAGGGTGGTGGGATCAGATTGGGCACAATTCCCAGACTATGCCTCCATTGTTGTTTCTTGAAACACTATGGGAGCAGGAATATCATCCCCAGGGCTCGGTGGGCCAGGGTGTGCTCCACTCTGTCTCCTTCCCTTTTTGTTTGCTCTGGTGTGCTCTGATCAGACGTGCCCCTCTCCCTGGGCTGTGGCTTCAGTGCTGTCCTCGGAAACGAATTCTTTTGGGGGGAAGCGGGTGGTGTCCATGTAGTCGGGATTGGGGCGGGCCCTGCAGACCTTTCTACTGGTTCCCTGCTTCATGCTGGTATGTTACAGTCATGTCTTGGGGCACCGGGTTGAAGTCTGGTCCCTTTCTCCCTCTCCTGTGGAGATATACAAAATACCCTCCCCCTGGGGTGGGCTAGTGCCCTGTTCCCCACTACCCATATCTTTTTTTATTGCTTTCTTTTCCCCTCTTTTGCAATTGGCTGCCATGAACTTTTAACCACACTACTATATTGAATCACAAAGTAGCATTGTTAGCTTATTGTTGCATTTATTTGAACCTCAGATTTTAAAGAAAAATGTCTCTCACTCTCTGATAACATTGACATTTGCAATACCTCAACCCAAAATATAGTGCTCCAACATGGGTAAGTACTTATTTGCACATGTACTGCATAGATATTAATTATGTCTGTACATATTCCTTTTGTTTAAACAGGTAATCAATAGTCTTGGCCCCTTGGAACTGATTCTTAATACTCCAAGCCATCATAGGGTTCATCATGGTAAGGAAGATCTATTTCTTTCATTTCTTCTTTGGTTATGGAAAACTTATATCATTATGTTGCATTATTTTACGTCATCACAGCTACTTAACAAAGCACACGTTGTGGAAGTAGGCGTTTCCTTTTCTTTATACCTGGATAAGCCACAGCGCCCAAACAAAATGTGTGGGGAAATCCACAAAAGCTTCTTTAATCTAGTACTGAGGACTTTTTGGTTTGTCTTGAGCTCACTTCCAGGTGGTGGGGGTGATTGCTGTGGTTCGGATCCACAGAGGCCATTCCGACTCGCTGCACCCCTGTGCATAGCGTATTCCGCTGTCCTGTCCTGCACAGTCTTTACAATTGCTGTTATGCTGAGCCCATTGTTGCAGGCACGCGGCAATCCGTTTTATTGAGAGACTTCCACGTTTTCTCTGACCCTCTAGTTTACCAACACGATGTCCTTTTCCAAAGACCGG